CAGCTGGAGTTCTCAGGGCCCTTTATTTAATCCCATCTGCAAAGTCCCTTTTGCCAAGTAAAGTGATATCCTCAGGGGGCCAATATTCAGTCCACCACACCCTCGAGGGAAATAAGCAAAGTTCAGAGCAGAGTGTGGGGCTCACGTTTGCTTAAGGAAAAAAAGAAAGAGAGAAGGGATCCATACACCTGTGCTTGCGAAGGCTGCGTAGGAAAGTGGTAAGAGTGGCTGCTTCTGAGAAGATTGGGTAGAAAGGAAACTTGCCATGGAATATCTTTCTGTATTATTTAAACTTTGCACTACATGCATAGGTCACTGTGTTAAAAACATTTTCTTAAGAAGTAACACATAGTCATTGTAAAAGTTGAGGCTGTCCAAAAGCAGAGAGAAGGAAAATACCCGCAAATCATTCCCTTTCTCTCCAGCAGTGACGCTGTGAGGAATTTGGCTCTATCCTTGCAAACTTGCAAAAAATGCACATGTAATTTTTTCACTTACATAGGTGGCTCAGGCTCTGCCCGCAGTGATATAATGTGATGGGGGCACTATGTTTGTCACATCTTCCCTCATCCTTGTATGCAGGTTTAATGGCACTGGGTCTCCCCCTGCTCAGACTTACCTTAACTGACTTAACCAGACCCCTGATAAGTGGACATTTAGATTCCTTGCTGCTGTCCACAGTAATCTCACACTGTAATCTACGGGTCTGGGTTTTTTGTTTTTTTTTTAATTGAAGTGAATTCACATAACATGAAATTAAGCACTATAAAGCGAACAATTCAGAGGCATCTAGTGCATCGACAGTGCTGTATATTCACCTCTTCTATCTAGTTCCAGAACATTTCATCATCCCAAAGGGAAACCCCATCCCCATTAAGCTGTCACTTACCATTTCCCTCCCCACCACCCCCAATCCTCCCCCTGCAACCACTAATCTGCTTTCTGTGTCCACAGATTTGCATATTTTGGATATTGCATATCAAGGAATCATATGTGATGTTTTGTGTCTGGCATAATGTTTGTAGACATCATAGCATGTGTCAGTACTTCATTTTTTTAAAAAATATTTTTTTTTTTATTGATTTCAGAGAGGGAGAGAGAGAAACATCAATGATGAGAATTATTGATGAGCTACCTCTGCACGCCCCCTACTGGGGAGCGAGCCTGAAACCCAGGCATGTGGCCTGACCAGGAATCAAACTGTGACCTGGTTCATAGGTCAATGCTCAACCACTAAGCAACACTGGCCAGATTGTACTTCACTTTTTTAAAAAAATATATATTTTATTGATTTTTCACAGAGAGGAAGGGAGAGGGATAGAGAGCTAGAAACATCGATGAGAGAGAAACATCGACCAGCTGCCTCCTGCACACCCCCTACTGGGGATGTGTCCACAACCAATGTACATGCCCTTGACTGGAATCGAACCTGGGACCTTTCAGTCCGCAGGCCGGCGCTCTATCCACTGAGCCAAACCAGTTTCGGCCGTTTCCACCTTTTAACTATGAATATTTGTGTATTTGACTGGGTGCCTGAATCAGTTCTTTCTGGTACGTAGCCAGGATGTATGTCCTTCTAGACACTCTTTGAACATTTACAATTTTCAGATACTTAATCAAGTTTTTTTTTAAAAATTTTGTAAGAAAGTGTTGCATACTAAGGCAAATGATGGCAGAAGGACAGATCTGGACAAACGTTTTCTTATTTTCCAGGCCCAGCGAGGACAAGAAAATGTCTACCCGGGACGAAAAGGTAAGTTGCTGCTGGGACCTCTCAGCCTGGAAATCATTGTTTGGTGTTTCCAACAGGAATGAGGAAAAATGCCTGTGAGTTCCAGTTATTGTTACTAACCAGAGAGAGGCAAAGGAAACCGTATTTCCTTCATTTGTAATTCCTTATTAAACTAGGCAAACAGAAAAGCAAGTGGAAATGCTCGATGCTGGTTGTGCCACGGTGAAATTGCCTCATTCCTTCGTCTACAGAGGGGCTGGGTCAACCCACACAGCTATTCTTTCTTTCTTCCTTTCTTTCTTCCTTTCTTCCTTTCTTTCTTTCTTTCTTTCTTCCTTCCTTCCTTCCTTCCTTCCTTCCTTCCTTCCTTCCTTCCTTCCTTCCTTTCCTTCTTTCTTTCTAAATATATTTTTATTGATTTCAGAGAGGATGAGAGAGGGAGAGAGAAATAGAAACATCAGGGATGAGAGGGAATCATTAACCAGCTGCCTTCTATCTGTCCCACACTGGGGATCAAGCCCACAACCCTGGCATGTGCCCTTGACCAGAATCGAACTCAGGACCCTTCAGTCCGTAGGTTGATGCTCTATCCCCTGAGCCAAACCAGCTAGAGCCACACAGCTGTTCTGGGAAAGAATGATGGTCTGTATCAGGAATCATGAAAATGTCTGTGATCAGACCTGCTCATCTCACTTATGGGAAAGGAAATGACCCATAAAAAGGAAAAAGTACAATTTATGGCACCATGTTTCTTAGCACATAAGACACCGCTGAGTGTTGACCCACCATTATGGTAGGTACTATGAAGAAGAAACGGTGCTGCCATTTACCATGATGTAATGTGACACACACTGAAACTGGTCAATTGTAAAACACATTCAGATCTCAGACATGCTACAATGTGAGAAAATGTGGTTTTAGTATTGGTGATAAAAATGAACCATCAGAAAATGCACTCGTGAGAGCTGTTTTTCCTTGGTAAGTTTCTGTGCCATTAAAAAGGTATAAAGAGCCCTAGTCAGTTTGGCTCAGTGGGGATAGAGTGCTGGCCTGTGGACTGAAGGGTCCCAGGTTCAATTCTGGCCAAGGGCACATGTCTAGATTGTGGGCTCAGTTCCCTGTAGGAAGTGTGCAGGAGGTAGCCAATCAATGATTCTCTCTCATCATTGGTGTTTCTCTCTCTCTCCCTCTCCTTTCCTTTCTGAAATCAAATTTTATATATATATATATATATATATATATATATATATATATATATATATATGTATGTATATATATATATATATATCAAAAAAAGGTATAAATAAGTCTGGTGCATATAATTAGGGGGGGAGGATACAACATTATCTGAAGTCTTTTATTATAATTGTAAAGACATAGATTAGGGGCAGAGATGGGTAGATAAGACTTATAGATGATGATAAATTTGGTGGTTGGGACTATTGTGAATTTATTTCCTTTTGCTCATGCTTTCATGGTATTCACACTGAAAGAAATTGGTCTAGGGGAAAGGTCTGTAAAGTTGGGGATAAGAGTCTAGGTGAGTTGGGGCCTGGATGAAGCTGGGAAGCTTCCAGGACCTGTCCCCGGGGTGAGGTGGGTGTTAGGCTGCAGACACGGCGGGGGAGGCAGAGGGTTGGAATGCTGCACCAAGCACACGCCTGCGGACCTCCTGGGGGCCAGAAGCCATTTGAGAGCCTGGCCTCTGGCGTGGGGGGGTGGGGGGGAGCTGGGAAGACTGGGCCAGGGCCACTGGTAGCAAATAAGCCTCTTAACTGATTCAAAGAGCAGTTCCTTTCAGTACTCTTATGGAGTTAATTGTGTGCTTTTTTAAACTTTTAATAGGATTGCTATTAGGAGCTCTGTGATTTTTTTTTCAGTTCTCCTTGTTTTTGAGAGGAAAACTGCGCTGTGGGAGAAACCCGTGGGGTATTTAGCCATGACTCAGACCTGGTTTGCTGTAGCCAGCTCTGCTGAGAGGGGCTCAGAGTCCCTCTCTGCCCCTTCCCGGCTCTCCGGGCCTCAGTTTTCCTGTTCTGTAAAGTGGGAACAATAGCTAGCTCCCTGCTAGAGCGGTGGTGAGAATGAGGTAGGATTGTGCATGGAAAGCATTTGGCAGGGTGCCTGACTACAGTGAACACTTAAACTCGTGGAAGGTGGGTTGGACCCGGCCATGAGCATAGGCTGGGTTTGCAGCCATCCGCGGACCCATCCTCATCGCAGACGATTGCATGTCACCAGCCACCTCTTGGGAACCGGGGAGCCGGGCTGCTCAGAAAGCCTCGCAGCCCTTCGGCTCCTTTCCCACGAGGCTCCCGGAGGCTCTGGGTTCATTGTGGTGCTAGTTCTCTGCCTGGGCTGCGCAGGGGAGATCTCAACCCCGAGGCCTCCCCAGACCGACAGAATCACAGTCTTGGGGCGAGAGGCCCAGGCACCGGAGTTCTTTAGAGCTTCTGTGTTTCCCACACGCAGCCCGGACTGAGGGCCACAGGCTAGATGAGGCGGGGAAGGCGGATGCACGGGGTTCTGTCCTGGCCAGCGCATTGCTAACCCTGGCGACTCACTCACACTCCCCATACATCTTCGTTTCTATCTGGATAACCACGTATTCTCTCTTCCTGCGCTTTCGTTTTCTTTCTACACTTTTGTAAACAAAAGGAGGGGAGCTCTGGGCCAGGTCTGTGTCTCACCAGCTGTGTGACCTGGGGCACGTTGCTTGGCCTCTCTGTTCCCAGCCTCTGCATCTGTGAAGGGAGGTTCGGGCCCCTGCCTCCTGGAGGGTTTGCAATGTGTTACAAAGGGCTTTGCCCAGAACTCAGAAATGGCAGGGACTCTAGTTGGAATCTGAACGATTCCCACCACTGCAGGCATTATTTCCCACATCGTCTCCACCCAGCCTCGTGACCGTCTTGCTGGGTGGACAGACGCTTATTGAGAAAGGAGGGACCCCTGACCCCAACGGAAAAGGAGAGAAATGCTGCAGCGTGGGGCCGGGCCGGGGTGTGGCGGGGAGGCACCTGGGCTGCCAGGGGCCCCTCCCCCAAAGCCGGTCAGCCGTCACAGGTGGTGGTTTCCGTGAACCTCAAACTTCCTCCCCACCCTAGAGAAGGAAAAGCTGTTACGCTTATTTAAAGACTTCCCTGATTTTAAAAATAGGCATCCCTCCGCGCACAGATGCCCGAAGGCGGGGGAGTGGGGGGGTCAGGGGGGCGGCGAGCTGGCGGCCGGGGCCCTCCAGGCCTCCGCAGAGGGAACCTGCAGTCCTCTGGCCTCAGAGGTCACACCGAGCAGGAGCCCACCTGGCCTCTGCCCTGAAGGGGATGACAGACTCCAACCGTCACAGAAGCTCAGGACCTGACTCCACAGGGGAGGAGAGAGGGGCCTTTGTGAGCGATACGGGGGAGGTAGCTGGTCTGGAGCTGGGATGCTTATTCTTTTGTTGTAGTTGTTAATTCTGAGAATATTTTTCCATTGATTTTTAGAGAGTGGAAAGGAGGGAGGGAGGAAGGGAGGGAGGGAGGGAGGGAGGGAGGGAGGGAGACAGAGAGAGAGAGAGAGAGAGAGAGAAACATCGATGTGAGACATCAATTGGTTGCCTCCCACATGGTCGGGGATGGAACCTGCAATTGAGGTCGATGCCCTTGACTGGAATCGAACCTGTCCTTCAGTCTATGAGCTGGTGCTCTAACCGCTGAGCCTAACTGTCTAGGGCCTGAAGGGGGTTAAAGAAGACTCTGACAAAGTAGAAGAGGGGCTGGAATTTCAGGCGAGGGAACTTGCAAAGGCCCTGTGGTGGAAGGGACGTGCTGGGTGCAGAGGCTGAGGGCCTTGTGGGCCAGCACAGAGGGTGGTGAACGGTGAGGTCAGACGGGCAGGCCGAGGCCACAGCATGCGGACAGGCGTGGGCCTCCGGGAGGCACTGGGTCTTTATTTCTAAGAGCAGTGGGAAGCCCAGGGAGTGTTTTAAGTAAAGGGAGTGTGTCAGAGGTCCCCGACATCACCCAGGGTCAGTGTTTTGCTAGGAGAGCTCAGAGAACTCGGCATGCAGCTTGCCTGACGGCTATGACGTATTACAGCCAAAGGACACACATTAAAATCAGCAAAGGGGGGCGCCGAATCCAGTTTGGCTCAGTGGATAGAGCATCGTCCTGTGGACTGAAAGGTCCTGGGTTCCATTCCGGTCCAGGGCATGTACATTAGTTGCGGGCACATCCCCAGTGCGGGGGGTGCAGGAGGCAGCTGATCGGTTTTTCTCTCTTATCGATGTTTCTAACTCTCTATCCTCTCCCTTCCTCTCTGGAAAAAATCAATAAGACATATATATTTTTTTAAATGAGCCAAGGGCAAAGGCACACGGGGTGAGGTCCAGAGGAAACCAGGCCCCAGACGGAGTCCCACAGGACGTGCTGAACACCTCCAGCCACCAGTTGTGACACCGCGTGCGCAGTGTTGCCCACCGGGAAAGCTCGGCAGAGACCTGAGGTTTTCCCTGGGCGCTGCTCACAGAGGCATCCTGTCCAGCCCTCACAAAACGGTAGACTCTCTGGGAAGGCAAGCAGGGGTGCAACATAAACTATATCGTGCACACAAACTGGGCACAGGGAGCGGTTCCTGTGGGGGAATGCTATGGACCCTCCCCGAATCTCAGCTTCCCAGATGCCAGCCATGTGCCATGCAGGCCTGGCGAGGACAATAGCCTCAGGCCTTTTCTGCACCGGGAGTGACACCGTTATGTTTGCTGATGGGAATGCGAGCGTGAAGGGGGCAGCAGTGGGAGCTGGTACAGCCTCCCCGTAAGAGGAGGATGCAGGGCCAGGGCCCTGGCAGTGGGTGGGAGACATAGTTATCAGATTCCAGGGCCCTAGCCGGTTTGGCTCAGTAGATAGAGCGTCAGCCTGAGGACTGAAGGGTCCCAGGTTTGATTCCGGTCAAGGGCACAGGCCTGGGATGCAGGCTCGATCCCCAGTAGGGGTGTGCAGGAGGCAGCCAATTAATGATTCTCATCGTTGATATTTCAGCTCTCTTCCTCTCTGAAAACAATAAAAATGTATTAAAAATATTTCAGGGTCATTTGGATGCTAAAATGCACAGGATTTAGTGATGGATGGGATGTGGGGGAGGAGGGAAGGCTGGGATGGGAGACAATTTCTTTGACCCTGGCTGGGTGTGTTTTAAAATCTCTGAACCAGAAGACAGGAGACCCCGGTGCCTGTGGATACGCTGACAGTTGCCGTGTTATAGAGCCTCAGTCTCCCCATCTGCTCAGGGAGGGAAGATTGCATCTCAGATCCTTGGTTCTGCCTTTTACATGCTCATTCTTTTCTGCTCAAAAATTCCAGCTTCTCTGGCATATAGTCCACATTGGCAGAGCATCTTGGGAAGAACAGACCTGAGTTCACTGATGCTTTTTTGGTTGATTTTTTAAAATTCTGCATGAGCAAGTTCTCATGTAAGAAACTGAAACAATAAACTAGTATATATCACAGGTTGAATCACATGAAATTGTCCATTTTTACCAGTTTTGGCCTACCAAGACAGTAATTTTTTTAAAAGCCTTTTATTTCAGGGATGTTTTCCTGGATTATAGTTTGAACTCTTGGTTCTGTTCCATTGTTTTGGTTTCCTTATTCAGAGATTCCAATTATGTGTGTGTTGGACGTAGAGGGGGATATATAGTCGTTGGCTGCCTGGCTTTTTCTTGGCCGTGTGTTCTAACACAGGGGCTCCGAGTCACCCGCACAGGGGCAGGTCCTGGCTCTGCCATTTTCCAAGTGTGTGACTGCGGACGTGCCTCCTCCCTCACCGAGACCCAAAATTACTGCCTCGACCTCAGAGGGCTGTTAGGACTTTAAATAAAATAGAGCCTTTTAGGAACTTAGTGTTACGCTAATATAGCAAATAACATCACTAATAATTAATAATAATAGATGTCGCTGCTGTTGTGTCTCCGAGTTTTAGGGTGGGGTTTTTTGATGAAATAAGCACCTCGAGTCCCCAAAAGTGAGCTCTGGGGGGGGGAACGGGAACATGGGGACTTAAAGGACGTTGGGCCCTGGGAATCGGGAATCACCTGAATTTCTTAAAAAGTGCCATTTTCTGTGATTGTTGGGTGACCGTGACATGGGGACTTCCCCTCCTACAGATGGCAGCCTCAGAGCCGGCAAAAATAGACATTCACGAGAATGAATGGGTCTGGCTTTCTCATTGCTCCCCTCTCTCCCAGGCAGTCACTGTTCTGGTGCAACGCCTGTCGCGTGTGAAAGAGGGTCTGTGATGCGATGATCTCTGAGGGGTAGCTCTTGGATAGCGCGCCTGTTAGGTATTTATGCAGCCCCTCCCTGTGCGGAGGGAGGCGGAGCCTGGGCTGCCCGGAGTTGGCAGGAGACAGGCGATACTGAGTGGCACAGTGGTCGCAGGTAAGGGCATGGTGGGGAAACAGAGGAAGGCCATTACGCCAGCAGGCAGTGGTTAAAGAGGGCCTCCTAGACATTTGTAAGGCCTGAGAGGGAACTAGGGTGAGACAGATGGGGGGGGGGGGGCGGGGAGAGAGAGGCTGTGCAAAGTCCCAGAAACAAGAGGCAGCGCAGTTTATTCAGAACTGAGAGAGGTTCGGTGTAGCTGGGGTGCGGCGGAGGCTGGAAGGGCACCAGGGCTCTGACTTTCCTGGGCTCAGTGGTAGGCAGGTGTGTGTGTGGGGGGGGGGGGTGCTGAGAGCAGGGGCACAGCCAGGTGGGCAGCGGGGAGAGGGGATCCTGGCTACCACTGGGCGGAGAAAGGACGTGGGGTCAGGAGGCGGCATGGGGAGCTGGTGCAGGTGTCCGGTCGGTCGGTCAGTCGGCAAGGGTTAGATGGGAAAGAGAAGGTGGAGGGCGGGCCGTGTTGAAGAGGCTGCATTGATATGGATGAGCTTGAGGCAGAGAGAGGCGCCAGGGATGGCTGTTGGCTCTGGGCCTGGCAGCGGGATGGCTATGATGCCAAGCCCTGGGGGAACATGGGGGAAGTGGACAGAGGAGGGAAGTGTGGGTCCCAGCAAACAGCCTGCGAGTCATCTGGCTAAGACTCTGAACAGGAGCAGCGTTGAGAACACAGGTGTGCTGAGATCCCAAAGGGGAAGGTCAGCTGCGCTAGGGCAGAGTCAGAGCCTCAAGGACTCCACCTGACGGAACAGGGGCATGGCGCAGGACACTGAGGAGGGTGGCCAGACATAGGAGAAAAGTCACGAGGCAAGACTGTCAAAAAGAACTGAGTCAGCCTGGCTGGTGTGGCTCAGTGGTTGAGCATTGACCTCAAGCACCAAGAGGTCACTGGTTTGATTCCCAGTCAGGGCACATGCCCATGTTGCAGGCATGCAGAAGGCAGCCGATCAATGATTCTCTCTCATCATTGATGTTTCTCTCTCTCTCTCCCCTCCTTCTCCCTTCCTCTCTCTTTCAAAAATCAATCAGTCAATAAAAAGAACTAGTCAACAGTATGACAGGACACAGTACAGTCAAGCGGATGGGAACCACAGCTGTGGGCTTCGATCTAAAGGTGACCTCAGAGAGAGTGGTGTCAGGATACAGTGGGACAGCAAGGTTAACGCAGGGGGCACCGAGATGGGCGGTTTCCACGGCCGGGGACTCTGCTGGTCCAGATTTCTGGGTTTGCAAGTGACAGAAATAATTCAGTGTAGTTTAAGCCACCAAGGAAATCCAACAGTTTGTGAGACTGAGGGTGAGACTGAAAAGCCTGGGGGCAGCCGGCCGATAAGCCAAGACGTGAACTATTCACGGACGGTGCTGGGACAGAGCAGCGGAGAGAGGGTTTTCCACGTGGAAGGAGAAGAATCACCGTCACTGTGGAGGGGCCGCTCCAGGCCAGGCACCGAGATCGCTGCTCTGCCTTCCTCCCTGAGTCAGTCCTCCCGCCCGGCCGGGTTCGGGGCGGGAGGCACTCGAGCGGGCAGTCCGGCGCGGGTGGTGGGTTTCAGAGGCCCACGGCATTTTCGGGATGAGCTATATTGTGACCCTTTTCTGGAACTTCTCTGCTTCTGAAATGACAGATTTTTTAAACTTAAAACCAGAGTTCTTTTCTGCTCTGCTGGGTGCTGGAAATATTTTCATCCCACATTACTAAATGTTGCATTTTTTTTACTGGTCGCAAGGTTTCAGGAGGAAAACTCTTCTCTTCTGTAAAATGTGTGGTTTTTGCAAAGCACTCGGAGCCTCCCCCCACCCCCATGCTGCAGGCTAGTACAGGAGGCTTTTGGGGGAAGGTATGGCCAGTAGCCCCCCCTTAGCCAACCCTGGCAACCAAGTGATGGAGGATCCAGCCTGAGATGAGTCGCAGCTTGACATGGGAGACAGGGTACCAGGGCCCTCAGCAGACAGGCGCTTGGTGGGCTGCTTCTTCTTCTTCCTCTTCTTCTTCTTCTTCTTTAATGTATTATATTTTATTGATTTTTTACAGAGAGAAAGGGAGAGAGATAGTTAGAAACATTGATGAGAGAGAAACATCGATCAGCTGCCTCCTGCACACTTCCCAATGGGGACGTGCCCACAACCAAGGTACATGCCCTTGACCGGAATCGAACCTGGGACTTTTCAATTCACAGGCTGACGCTCTATCCACTGAGCAAAACCAGTTAGGGCTTGGTGGGCTTGTAAGTCGGGTGTCATGTGAGACTCTGGAGATACAAACTCTGCCCTGATGGAGCTTAAATGCTAGTGTGGAGAGAGAAGTAATAAACAGCTGACCAAAAATATTTCTAGTTGGAAATTGTTTGAAGGGCTCTCAAAGGAAAGGTAAAGAATATACAGAGGGATTATCCAATTAAGGAGGGGTCTGATTTACATGTGAGGGTCAAGGAGGGCCTCTCTGAGGAAGGGACCTTCCAGCTGAGGAAGAGCGAGCCATGCCAGCGTGGGGAGAGGAGTGTGCCAGGCTGAGGGAAGACCCCACAGGAGGCCCAGAGGGGGTGAGGGTAGCCCCGGGGTAGGTTATGGGGCAGGAGATGACAGCAAACCTTGCAGGACCCAGTACATCGTTGGAAGGATCTTGGATGTTTATTCAAAGAGCAAACAGCAGGGGGCAGTGATATGGTCAGGCGCGATGGTCAGGGGTGAAGGTTTATGAAATCCATTCAGGCTGCTGGTGAGAGTGCGCTGGAAGAACTGGGTTGGAGGAGAGAGATCAATAAGGAGGCTGTTACAGTCTTCTGGGTGAGAGGCTGAAGGCCTGGTCTAGGGAGCCGGTGGAAGAGGAAATGAGCAGTGGGGGTCGGGAGAAGAGAGAGCCAGGATCCTGGATGGGCACAGATTCAGGAGGTTCAACTCCTGGGAGATTATATGCTCTCCTTGGGCCTCTTCGCGTCGGAGGAAGTCTCAAGTCAGGGGCTCCCTGAAGCTTGAACAATATGGGAGACTGGGCAGGGGAGGCAGCCTGGAGCCGATGGGATTCCTGGATGTGGCATTTTGGAGCACCATCCCCCCTCCGCACACGTCACCCACAACCTCGCCCCACAGTCTCAGCGCACTTACCATAACAAGAAAACATTGGGATTCAGGAAAGGCTTATGGAAGAGGTGGTATCCTTTTAATGGATTTGGAGCTTAGAAATGTACAAGGCACCACAGAACCGGAAGGAACAGTGGCCTGGGACCAAAGAGCTTCAGTCCTATTTTCAAGCACACGGCTGCTGGTTACCTGAGACCGTGAGCAGACCCTGGCCACTCATGGCCCCTCACTGAACGCGTGGGCAGGCCTGACCAGACCTGACATGCAGACGTCCTCAGTGATATACAGAGACATTTATTTTAACTGTTGTCTAGTATTTCATCACACAAATAGGAAGGATTCATTTGTCTTCTACCATTTAGGTGAACATTTCTGATGAACACTATTTTTTAAAAAATATTTTTATTTTTATTGAATTCAGAGAGGAAGGGAGAGGGAGAGAGAGAAACACCAATGAGATGAGAGAGAACCATCAATCGGCTGCCCTTTGCATGCCCCCCACAGGGGATCGAGCCCGAAACCCAGGCATGTGCCCTAGACCGGAATCGAACCCGGGACCCTTCAGGCCGACGCTCCATCCACCGAACCACACCAGCCAGGGCTGGTGAACATTCTTGGGCACGTCAATGATTAGAGCGCATGTGGGCAGTGTTTGCGGGGAGCCCATCTGGGGACGGAATCACTAGATCATTCAGAAAGATATGGACAACTTCATCTTGACAAAGCAGTCCACATTGCTGCCAGAAATGGTGGTGCCACGGCCTGTTCTTATCTTCAGTGTTCAACAGACCCCCTTGTTTAACGCCTTCACCGTTTGCTGCTGCAGTCTTTATAACCTGGCCATCGGAGGAGTGAAAGGTGTGCGGTTGTTACGTCACCTCGCATTTTCCGGAGTGCTGGTGGAGTGGGGCGTCTTGGCCATTTGGGTTTTCTCTTAAGTGACTTGCTTCATATCCATCACCTAGTTGTCCATGGCGTTGTCTTTTGGAAGTGACATTTTCTTTCTATATTCTGGGCGCTAAATCTGTGTCTGTTAAGTACATTGTAATATTTACCCCCAATCGGTGTGTGTCTTAACTTTGTAGGGGTGTCTGTGAGATAGAAAAGCTTTTAGTTTTGATGAGGCAGGTCTATCCATTTCTTTGTATTTTGTCTTCTTCTTCTTTTTTTTTTTTTAAATACATTTTTATGAAGAACTTAAACTGACGGACAAAAATAGATACAGAGACAGAGAAGTATCAAACCAGTGTGGTACGCATATCCCCAGGGGTACGGGAAGAGTCTGGTGGGGTTACGCATTGCACCGGAGTTTGGTGGGGATATGCACTGCACCGTGCTTAGCTGCGCCTAATTCTACGTTCTCATGAGTACGAGGGGTACTCAGCATTACGAAAATTATAGAAGGGGTACACATATGTCAAAAGTTTGGGAAACACTGATCAAACTTCAGAGGGAAGGCAGGGGTGAGTGTGTGTCGGGGTAAGAGACCAATGGACACAGACAGTAGGGGGTAAGGGACATGCTTGGGGGTGGGGGAGGTCGGGGAGAGGTCAGTGGAGGAAAAAGGAGACACATGTAAGTGCTATATGTAATATTTTAAACAATACAGAATTTTAAAATGTGTATATATACATATATGTATATTTATATATAATATATATCTCTATATATATTATTGATTTCAGAGAGGAAGGAACAGGGAGAAAGAGAAACATCAATGATGAGAAAGAATCCTTGATTGGCTGCCTCCTGCTTGCCCCACACTGGGGATCGAGCCCACAACCCAGAATCGAACTGTGACCTCCCGGTTCATAGGTCGATGCTAAACCACAGAGCCATGCCAATCGAGCAGTTTTATCTTCTTTAAACCAGCGTTTTTCAACCGCTGTTCCGCGGCACAGATGTTGCCTGGTGTGCCGCAGGTGCAGACAAGACAAGAATTTTATAATTTTTCACTATTTTGTTTACTTAATATTTCATAATAAAGTAATTATAAAATACTTTCTTTGTGTTTATTTGATTCCTATTCAAGAGAATTACTTTATATATAGTCAATATAGGCACAGAGCTAAATTTTTTAACATTTTCTAATGGTGGTGTGCCTCGTGATTTTTTTCATGAAACAAGTGTGCCTTTGCCCAAAAAAGGTTGAAAAACACTGCTTTAAACAACCTTTCCCTGTTTTGAGGTCATGAAGATACTTGTTTGTATTTTGTTCTAAGACTTTTAAAAAATTTTTTTAAAAAAATACATTTATATACACTGAGTGGCCAGATTATTATGATCTCTGAACACATAATAATCTGGCCACTCAGTGTATATCCTATATAATAAAAGGCTAATATACAAATTGTCCCCTCGACCAGGAGTTCAATCAGCAGGCAGGCTGGCCAACCACCCACGTCCTCTCCACCTGGACAGGCTGACCAGGCCCCACCCATGCACGAATTCATGCACTGGGCCTCTAATCTAAGCTAATAAAAGGGAAAGATGCAAATTGACCATACTTCTGCGATACTCACCAGCCATTCAGGATTGAGTATGCAAATTAACCCAACAAAGGTATTGGGTTAATTTGCATACACAGGCACTGAGTGGCCAGGGGCGGGTGTTCCGCACCACCCCAGCTACTCCGGGCCTCTGGGCAGCATGGGAAGGCAGCTCTGGGCTGGAGCAAAGGCAGTGCCATAGTCAGGGGAAGGAAGGCCCATTCTTGCACAAATCATTCAGAGATCATCATAATCTGGCCACTCTGTGTGTGTGTGTGTGTGTGTGTGTGTGTATATATATATATATATATTAATGCTAATGCCTCCTAATTTATTCTTTGTATTGTGTGGGTGTCTTTTGTTTACTTACTTTTCTATTGGGAAAGCCAGTTGTCCTAAGTTCCCCAGCCTTTCCTGCTGATCTGAACTGCCACTACCATCGCATCCAGGTTTCCACAGGGCACTGAGTCTGCTTAGAGCTCCCTTCTGTTCCACTGACCATATTGCCTATTCTTGTATCCATACCTGAAAGTTTTCATTATTGAACTTTATTTTTTTAAAATGTATTATCTGGGCAAAAGGGGGAGGATTATTTGCTTTTTGCTTTGAGGCCATCGGTCTTTAAATAACTGTCCGTTGTGTATGTAAATCAGCTGAACCTAGGGGGGAAAAAATCCGTTTGCTTCTCACCTTCCCAGGACTGATCCGCCACGGCAGGAAGCAGAGAGGGAGGTCGGGCCTTCACTTTTCTGTGAAACTCTGGGTGCTTTTACTTTCGGCTTTCCCCCTCCCCTCCCAACTCTCGCCTCTGGCTTTCCGGGTTGTGATATCTCTGAACCAGGCGGCCTTCTTCCGATCTTTCCACGTGATGGGTATTTTGTAACTGGGTTGTAGTACCAGTGCCGTTGGTTGCTGCCAGCCAGACCACAGTGCTAGGCCCGCTGGGGTCTGGCATTTCCTGTCGCCTCACTGACACGGACAGCCTGGATTCCAAAAATAAAAGCACAAGAAACCGCCGTGACCTCACGGTCTCCGTGCTCGCAGGGTGCTCTGAGCTCTGGGGCTGCCTTCACCCCTGGGGCCCAGCCCCCCGCCAGAGAGACGTGGGTCCCCGTGGTCTGGTCGGGCTCACTCTCTGTCCCCCCACCCCTTTCAGACCGTCACGCGAAGGGCCAAGGTTGCTCCCGCCGAGAGGATGAGCAAGTTCCTGAAGCACTTCACTGTCGTCGGGGATGACTACCACACCTGGAACATCAACTACAAGAAGTGGGAGAACGAAGAGGAGGAGGAGGAGGAGGAGGAGCAGCAGCGGGGAGAGGAGGAGCAGCCGCAGCCCACGCCAGCCTCGGAGGAGGAGGGCAGAGCTGCTGGCTCCACCTCGGGCCCCGTCTCCACGCCCAGGCGCCCCGTGGACCTGAGGACCCGGGTGAAGAAGCTCTTCGCCTCCCACAGGTTCCAGGTAGGCGGGCAGGGCGCTCCGCTGAGGGTCACGAGGCCGGGTGTGTGTGTGTGTGTGTGTGTGTGTGTGGTGTGTGTGTGTGTGGCCGTCGCTGCCGCTGCCTCATTCACTGGGTGGGTGTCTCCTGGGCCCAGCGCCCACACAGAGCCGGGCACACAGGGCAGGGCCTGTGTTTCCGGGATGAAATCGGACTCCAGAGGCCCGTCGTCTGGTGAGTGGATAAACAACATGTGGTCCGTCCACCCCATGGAACACTGTTCAGCCACGAAAAGGAAGGATGGACCTGGAGGACAGGTGCCGAGTGCGGGAAGCCAGGCACTGACGACCCTGTATTGTGTGGTTCCATGTATGTGGCATGTCCAGAAGGAGCAAATCCATAGGCACAGACAGCAGGTGGGTGGTTGTCCCAGGCTGGAGGGCGGGGAGGACGGGCAGTGACTGCCCCATGGAGGCAGGGCTCCCCGTCGGGGTGATGAAGATGTTCGGGTCTATTTCGTGGCGATGGCTCCACAACCTTGGGAATAGACTTCGTGCTACTGGGTTTTAAAATGATTGAAATGGTACATTTTATGTTGTACACATCTTGCCGCACAGCCACAAAGTAAATTAAAGGGTTAACATTGGAGGCAGAAAAAAAAAAAAAAAAAAAAAAAAAAAGAACGTTCCAGCCCCACAAGGCCAAGAGGGTGCCAGGCCACACCCACCCTTCACCCTGGGGGGGGGGGGGGGTCTCAGTCTTCGCCAAAAACACCTGCCAGGCTTACCCTGCGCCTACTTCCAGGTGTGGTGATGGGGAGGACGTGAGAGGAAGGTGGGGGCTTCCAAGAATAGCAAAGGAATGGAGCTTTCTACAGAGTTCAGGATGGTCCTGCCCTGGGATTTTGAAGGATAAAAGCAGGTGGAGTCTGGCCGGCCGTCAGGTGGGCAGGCAGGAGTCCAGGAGCACGGCGGAGGCCCAGGGACACTGGGGAAGCAGCACCCGTCACCACATGGAGCCATGTGGGGGCCCTGGGCCAAGATAATCCAGTGCCGCCCAAGAGCCAGTGTCCCTTCCAGAAGCAGAGAGAAGCAGCGAGAAGCAGCCCTTGCCTCTCCCACGGCTGACTTTGTTCCAGGGTAAAATAAGGAAAACCTATTTTAGTATCTTTTCGCTTTTGTGTGGCTTAGAGAGAGAATGCGGGCCAAGCAGCCCGCACAGTGCTTTCCTCTGAGGTTGCGACAGGAAAGAGAGCGTGGTATTAAGTTGTTGGGGTTGAAATCCCAAACCCTCAATTTCAGGAGGAGGAGGAAGGAGCCAGCTTCCTCCCAGCTGCACGGGGAGCCCTGGATGACCCTCTGGGAGGCGCCCCCCTCCTGACTCAGCCCACCAGCTGGCCCCCGAGCTGGGGCCCCAGAGATGCTGGCCCTGGGGGAAATAATAGAGGGGTCTAGTCCTTCGCTCAACAGCCGTTTCTTAGCACGTGTGTGTGGGTGGTGTGTGTGTGTGTGTGTGTGTGTGTGTGTGTGTGTGTGGTGGTGGGGGTTGTGTGTGTGTGTGTGTGTGTGTGTGGTGTGTGTGTGTGTGTGTGGTGGGGGGGGTTGTGTGTGTGTGTGTGTGTGTGTGTGTGGTGTGTGTGTGTGTGTGGTGTGTGTGTGTGTGTGTGTGTAGGGGGGAGGGTACAGTGGTGAGCTGGTGGACACGTTTCTGCCCCACTCACGGATGCAGTCACTCCAGAAACCACCCAGACAGAAAACTGGTTACAATGGAGAGAAGCCCTCTGTAGGGAAACAGAAGGGGCTCTGAGGGATCCTGGGGAGGGGAGAGACGTGTCTAGGGGGTGACATCCCCCCCTTTGCCCCCCAACAGCTGAAGGCTGGGCAAGGAGAGGGAGGAGCTTTCCAGGCAGATGGCCCCGTTGCTAAGGGTCCGAGGTAGGAACAGGTATGCAGCGTTGCAGGACTGGGAAGGGTCCACGAGGCATATGTGTGGTGAGAAGGGGGACCACTTGGCAAGGGAGGAGGCCCCGGAAAGTCGTCATGGCAGTGGGCAGCCATGGAAGTTTACAAGCGGGTGGGAGGGGGTGGCATGACCAGATTTGGAGAAGGGGCGCAGAGTACAAGAAAGGTGGCCACCTCCCAGCGGGGGATACAGGTCCAGGCTCAGGGGTTAGATCTGTGCTGGTAACATCAGCATACACAAGATTCTGGAATCCCTTTCTTGCAAACCACTTGCTCCACATGGTTTGAGGTGGCCAAGGTGACATGATGTACAGCTAACTGCTGTCACACATGGGATGGCACAACCAAGAGAGGAAACACAGGGTGGGGACCCAGGCATCGTAGCTTTGTGACCTTGGGCCTCTCTGTCCTTCAGAGGGGAGATTCCTATAAAATTAATCATCTCAAAGTGAATCGCTCAGTGGCATTCCCAGAGTTGCACAGCCATCACCACTATCTAGTTCCAGAACATTTTCGTCGCCCCCAGAGGGGATCTGCACCCATTACACAGTGACCTCCCAGCCCTGACAACCACTAATCTTATTGCGTCTATAGATCTGCCTCTTCTGGACATTTCATACAAATGGAATCGCACAATACAGATCGTCTTTTCCGTCTGGCTTTTTTCACTTTAGCATAATGTTTTCTAGGTCCAACCACATCATAGCGTGTATCAGTACTTCATCACTTTTTATGGCTGAATATGCAGCCTGATTTTAATATTTCTGTGCCTTGGCTTTAAGTCAGATCCCTTTAGCTCTAAAATAAAACCAAGGATGAAGAAAGAAAGGAGAGCGGGGGCTAGGGGGGGGGGGGACCACCAAAAGCTTGAATCTTTATTAAGCTGCTGAATTTGTTCTGTATAAAAACTTCATTGAGAAACAGTTTGCCATGCAATTTCATCCATATCATCAAATCATTTGATTACTGAAATAATTAGCTACAGGTGGAAATTATAAAAACAAAACAAACAAAAAAAACACGTAGACAGTGCTTGATTCTTAGTAGGCCTGAACTTGTAGAATTTCCTCCTGAAACTGCCAAGAAAATTAATGGCAACGTGAACCTTCAGAGGCCAAAATCTGTGTGCCTGAGAGTGTAAGGGACAAGGCCCCGGGAGGAGTAAGTGATGGCCCAGTTTCCAAAGGAAGAAAGTCCCTCTACAGCTGCCAGCCCCATCCCCATCGCCACCCTGTCACCCTGTGGTCTCTCTGACACTGTCACCTCCACCCGTCAGTGCCTCCTCAGACTTGTCACCACCTCCATCTCGGGGACCGTCACCATCACTGAAATTACCCACTCCCTGCACTCAGGTTCCCACTGCCCCCTCTGCCCCCAGGCCAGGACTGTCTTTCCCATAACTCTTCTCCGTTTCCCACCTGAGTCGGGGCAGGTGTTCACGGCTCTGCACCAGCTGTTTCATGTGCACAGTGGACGTCGCTGTAACCCAGCTGCCCCACGTGGGCAGAGCCTGGAGGTTCCTCCCACCACTCAGACCTCTGAGGCTGCATGTTTTCCATTATTGATTGAGCGTCTCCTCTGGGCTGACCCTGGCAAGAGCAAAGCACAGTACTAGGGAAACAAAAACGTGGCAAAATGTTTTTTATTAATTAGCAGTTTGTTTTGAGAGATGCTGGAAACAGTGAACAAGTAAAAAAAAAGACAAGTAATGCCCGGTCGACATGGCTCAGTGGTGAACGTTGACCTATGAACCAGGAGGTCACGGTTTGATTCCCGGTCAGGGCACAGGCCTGGGTTGCGGGCTCCATCCCCAGTGTGGGTGTGCAGGAGGCAGCTGGTCAATGATTCTCATCATTGATGTTTCTATCTCTCTGTCTCCCTTCATCTCCGAAATCAACAAAAATATATATTTTTTAAAAAGACAAGTAGTGACAGAGGGTCAGTGAGCGAGCTGTCCTGAGATGCTCTGGTAGCAGGCACTGAGGTGGTGAACAGCCCGGGAAGGCAGCAGGGGGAGGAGGGGCTTCTATGGCTTCTGTGGAGGAGCTGGCCCCCAGCGGGCTCCCCTCAGGGTGCGTGGGCCATAGCTGGCAGCCTCCCATCCTTGGCATTTTCCCTAGTGGTTTCATCCAGATGTTTCCAAGCCAACCTTGGAAAGAGGGAAGGCGGTCTCCCTTTCGGGCTCATGGCTTCTCCTTCCCGGGGTGCGCAGGTCATCATCATTTGCCTGGTTGTGCTGGATGCCCTCCTGGTGCTGGCCGAGCTCATCCTGGACCTGAAGATCATCCAGCCAGACAAGAACAACTATGCCGGCCGGGTATGTGCCCACAGCCCTTAACGCCCCCTTCGCTCCGGTACCCGTACTGGAGGGGACATGGGAGGGTGGATGGCGCCCGCCCTGAGACTGCACGAGAGCAGATCGGGTGCTCTCAGCCCAAGGGCAGAGGGAATATCTTCCTTTCCGAGTCATGGATAAGCATTGACTACAACAGGAAACCTTCTCTTCTCTCTTCACGGCTTCCTGGGCCGCTGAGCTGGCGTGTGTCCCTGATCCCAGAGGGCGCTCTGACCCGGGATGTAATATTACCTACTTTCCCGTCCCCCAGAAGAGCCGTTTCTCCTTAGCTGTTCTGACGGGGTCCCTAGGCTGAAGCCATCGGGGATGTGCCGCTGTTTGTTCCCTGATTCACACTTCCTGCCGGAGTCCCTCCCAGACACCTGCCCAAGGGGCACTGGACACCCCAAAAACGTACCACCTGTGGCCCATCGTCAGTAACAGCCGGGAGCTGGAAAGCTTCTCCCAACACTTTTTTAAAAACAAAAGTCCAGCCGAAACCGGTTTGGTTCATGGATAGAGTGTCGGTCTGCGGACTGAAAGGTCCCAGGTTCGATTCCGGTCAAGGGCATGTACCTTGGTTGCGGGCACATCCCCAGTGGGGAGGTGCAGGAGGCAGCTAATCGATGATTCTCTCTCGTCAGAGTTTCTAACTCTCTATCCTTCTCTCTTCCTCTCTGTAAAAAAAAATCAATAAAATACATATATTTTTTAAAAACACAAAAGTCCATTTATAATGCAAAAATGCCCTTTCAGGTATAAACCACTGCCCTTCCTGCTGCTGCCCCTTTCCCAAGGCAGCCCTTCGGTGTCCCTCTGCGGCAGCCCCGGTTCTTCCGTACGAGGATGAATGTCTTCTCTGTTTTATTTTTTTTTAACAGAATCAATAACACACCTGCAAACTCAGTCTTGTGCCCTTCTTTTTCCTCAACTTTTTTATTATGAAAAAAAGGCAAATCTACATTTTGCTATATTTGCTCTATCCACAAACACACCCATGTATTATTGTCTGACCATTTGAAAATAAGTTAGACATCATTGACACTTCATCCTAAATAGTTTTATGTACATAAGAATAAGGTCTTCCTCCTACAGAACCATACTAGCATTTTCATATCTTAAAAATTATCAATAATTCCTTATCTAATAGCCAATTAGCATCCACTCATGAGCATTGGCTAGCCAGTGAATACACTCGGGGATGCAAACTGGTGATTTTGAATTGTCTTTCCTTCTACATCACATAGTTGGTATTTTTTTATAAGAGCTTTCCTTTTTTTCTGTGTACACGTATGTGCATGTACCACTCACTATGGACGCATGGGTTTTTGTGTGTGTTATGTATTCGGTGTATTACAATGATAAGCCATTCTTTTCAATATTCAAATGGTCCCAGTACTGGCGACTGTGAGCCCTTTGAGCGGACTGCTGTGCTCCTTTGACACGACCCCATAGTCTTTGAGCATTTCCCCGCTCAAAAATTATGTCCCAGCTGACTTTGAACTTTCCCTGCCTCAGAATGGAAATGGTTCCTTTACTGAAGACCAGTATTTATCAGTCAGGATCTGGAAACTCTTCACTCACCATCTACTTGGTGATCACTGCTAGTCAACCCATATGGATCAGCCTTAAGTCTTTTTAACAATTGCATAGTGCTCCATATGGAGGAACCATAATGCATTTGACGACTGCCCTTTAATGGATATGTCAATTTTTTTTTTACAAACTACGTAGAAAATATTGTTTGGCAAGTGATGCTGCAGTAAGCATCCTTACAAGTCTTTGTACACGTGAATTAAGCTGTAGGATCAATTCCAAGCAGTGGCATTGTTACCCAACTGAAGGGTCTGTTTGCCTGTATTTATCAAATGAGAGTCTGCAGACACGAAAGTAGGGATTTATTAAGGAGATGGCACCATGCCTGGAGTCACAGTTGAGCTACTGCTCAAAAAACTCCTTCCCCATGGCTCCCAGGGGAAGGACTTTATAGGGGGAAGGGAGGAATCATGAATCATGACGACTTGAGGAGTTAGGGTCGTGGTCTCTACTGATTGGTTGGTGCTAGGGTAGGGGGTAGTTGATCATTGTATCTGGTCCTGATGTCAGCCCTGGAGTCATTCTGTCTGATTTGGCAAGGGTGTGTTTGGTGGGATTGCTCGGCTTTCCTGGAAACTAAGGCCAACATGCTATCTTTAGTTTGATTGAAAATTCTGTCTCTATAATCAAGACACTTGTCCCTAAGGCTACTGGATGCTGACCAGAACCTCATTGCTCTGAGGGCTTAATGATTAAGCAAGGTGGGTGAGAAGCCAGTTTGAGTCAAAGGGAAAAATATAAAAGGCCCAGTGAAAGAAAATAGGGTTTCTGCACGGTTCCAGTACTGCTATGCCAATAGGCATGGCGACGTTTTCCAATCTACCATCGCCAATTGCCCTTCCAAGAGCAGAGCCCTGTCCGCTGTTCCCGCTGTTTTACCGGCCCGAGAACAGGGCCTGGCGCTGGCAGGGGCTTGGGACTGGTCAGTGAATGAAATCTCATGGGCACTCGAGGCCCGGACCTGCTCTCACTGTGCCTCCTTGTCTCCTCCAGGTGTTCCACTATATAAGCATCGCCATCTTGACCTTCTTTATGGTAGAGGTTTCCTTTAAAATATTTGTTTTCCGTTGGGAGTTCTTCTACCACAAGTTTGAAATCCTGGACTCTGTCGTCGTCGTGGTTTCGTTTGTCCTCGACATCGTCGTCCTGTTCCAGGAGCATGAGCTCGAGGCTCTGGGCCTGTTGATTCTGCTCCGGCTGTGGCGGGTGGCCCGGATCATCAACGGTGAGTGCCCTGCGCTCCGGGCTGCAGAGCAGACAGGAATAGGCGGGCCTGGGAGGGGACACTGAGGCTGCACGTGGTGGTTTCCAGGCCGGTCTCCTCCTCCTTTCCCTGCAGTCCAGAGGAAAGTGTTCTGATCTGGGGTTCCACCACCGCCTCTGTGGCTAAGAACTGACACCGAGACATGTCCCCTCAGAGGAACTGCCTTTCTCCTTTGGGCCCTGTTTCTATTAGACCAATCCCTGAAGAGAATTTCGTCACATCCTACCCTCCTGGGGAGGAGCCTCATCCAGAAGGGGTGCAAGGGAGCTAAAAAATGATTTGCACTGGATCCTGCCCCCTTTGAGAAAAGCACAGCATGTGTTAGTGTGATGAAGACTCTGATAACTGTGATATTTCCCAAATTGACCAATCTGATACTCTCTGGGGATGTAATACCTATTCACATGCTGTAGACCCTGGCTGTGGAGCACACACTTGGGGAAATACTGTGTATCTTAGGTAAAAAGCCTACGCCTTGCACACCCTGGTTGTACAGTGAGCCTCTGTCTCAGAGAATTCATGTTTCTGCTGTGACTTTATTTTTATTGATTTCAGAGAGAGGAAAAGAGAGAGAAACATCTATGTGAGAGAGATTGGTTGCCTCTAGCGCACACCCCAACTGAGGCATGGATGGAACCTGCAACCCAGATACATCCCCTTAACTGGGAATCGAACTGGCAACCCCTCAGTGCTCAGGCCGACACTATTCACTGAGCCGCACCAGCCAGCCAGCACCTTTGTGGGTTTTGCACACAATGCTGCTAGGCAGTGTAGGGTGAAGCAACTCTGTGGTAAGAAACTTAATACTCATCTGCTCAGTGATTTTTTAAAAAACATATTTTATTGATTTTTTACAGAGAGGAAGAGAGAGGGATAGAGAGTTAGGGACATCGATGAGAGAGAGACATTGATCAGCTGCCTCCTGCACACCTCCCCCTGGTACATGCCCTTGATCGGAATCGAACCTGGACCTTTCAGTCTGCAGGCCAATCAATGCTCTATCCACTGAGCCAAACCGGTTTCGGCATCAGTGATTATTTTTAAGGATTTTTCGGCCCATGGGAACCAAAGAGAAGTATTTCACAACGAGGTCCTCAGAAATGAAAAACCAGGCCCTCCTAGTTCGATGCCTTTACTTATCTGTCAGCACTCTTCCCAACTGCACACGTTTATAAGAAACACAAATTTTTTTCAAGTGGTTAAATTAGAAACTAGTATCATTGAGACCCTCAATTGTTTTTCAGGAATAATTATCTCGGTTAAGACACGTTCAGAGCGGCAACTGTTGAGGCTAAAACAGATAAATATACAGCTGGCTGCCAAGATCCAGCACCTTGAGTTCAGCTGCTCTGAGAAGGTAAGAGCGTTCTGGGGAAACGCCGCCCGTGTGCAGTGCCCACCTTCAGCTGGTGCTCCCCACGCCCGGCCTTCGCTCCTGTGTGCCGGGAGCCGGGAGCGCCCCTCCTCCTGGCTAAGTCCTCCCCGTCCTTGCCTCCTTCCCAGCCAGGCTGGGCATCCCTCCTCTTGTCTCTGCCACTGTCCACGGGACACCCTGTAACTGTGGCAGCCGCCTTCCCGCACTGATTCCTTGTTCCGGGGCTCACGGAACGAGGGTCACGCCCCTGGGGAGGCTCAGGGGTAAATTCCGTTATTTGTCTGCTTTCGTAATAACAGGAACAAGAAATTGAAAGACTTAACAAGCTCCTGAGACAGCACGGACTTCTGGGGGAGGTGAACTAGAGGCGTCCCTGCTCCACTCCGAAGACACCGCCTCGCGGGCTGTGGCTGTGAGTGAGGACACCGGCCCTCCTGGGCCTCGGCGGGACAGGGCTGGTTTGATGTCTTTGCCTCCGACCCGGCTTGGACTCTGGAGGGACACAGTCTTCCGAAAGGCGCTCTCTCTTCCTCGGTGTGACCGAGGGCTTCCCGTCCCATCCCCACCTGCACTGCATCACGGATGTATTATAAGCTATTTCTCGAGTTGAGCACTTGGCTCTTGCTGGAAAATGGACAACAAAGCTGGACAGCCACTAGTTGTAAATAACATTTAATCTCATCAAATTTGTTTTCACGTTCTACGGGAATACTGAGGCATTCTTTCATATGAGCGCTCTGAAAGACAAAAGAAAAAAAGAAAAAAGGGAAAAAAAGAAGCTACCTTAGCTACCAGCCCATTCTGGAAAGGCCTTGTCTATTTCCCAGCGGCTCTAAACAGCCTGTGGGAGGCAGTTCCCCAAGGAGGCTGTCCTCGGTTCCTCCTCTGCATCACCCAGCTGCTCGCTGCTCCACCCCGTTCCGCCACCTGACGACGTTTTTCTCAATTACTGTACAATTAATGTAGAACATAAACTCTCTCCTTCCCCCAGACCCTCCCACTATATTCTTTCCAGCTTCAACGGCTTGGAACTGCTCTGTGGCATCCCACACCAGGCCGCCAGTTGGAGAGCCAGCTAGCCAGTTGGAGAGCTCGCTAGCAACAGTGCCTGGTACAGAAATGCCAATTGGACCCAAGACTCCACTCTAATTAACATGACATTTGGGGGAAGATCCCCTCCTGAGGCCTTGCATTCTATCTGCGTGAGCTTAGACAATAGTTCGCTATTTTTGTACTCATTTCAGTGGGACTTGAAAGAAAACCTGAACTAAAAACAATGATTATTTTAACAACAACTCACATCAAAGCAGGAGGTGAGTGAGCTGGATAAACCCTCAATGCCTGTGCTACTTCAAAGTCTGTTCTCGCTACGTCTTCCCAAAGGTGCAATTTGGCTTCCACACACGATCTCTGTGCTGAGTTTTGGAAATTACCAAGATCAGATAGTGCCGCCTTTTAAAGTCAAACCAAGTAGAATAAAATTTCCAAAAGGAGGGGAATGAGTGGGGAGAGGAGGTGTGGCCTCCTTTCTTTAATGACTTACGTCAAACAAATGGGAAGAAGAAATTGAAGGGCAGCTTGGCATTGATGGTTGGCCGAGCTCTGAAGCCTGCCTCCGCCGGTGCAGACACGTCCACAAAAGTAACCGCAGTGGAAATCAGAATCGTCCTTTCTTTTCCCGAGTCCGTCTGTAATAAAAAGCCAGGGTGCTGTAAGCCTTGGGGCCCGTGTTACCAGGATAACAAAGACAGGACGTCTTTCACTCTCTTCCTCACTGACCACTGTTGGTCATTCAAAAATCTGATAGGTATGTGGAGGACTAATCAGCCATTAACTTGGATGAGAGAAATAATTTTTACCCAGGTTGTCCCAACAAGTCAATGTCAATCACAACTCAATTTTCGTAAGAATTTTAAAGAGAAATCTAAACAAGCGTGCTACTGTGAACGAAACCCTTGTTAGCGGAGGTTTTCCTAAGTAAAAGAAAATGACGGCTACAGTGTTTTAAGAATCCAGATTGTTGCCCTAGCTGGCTTGGCTCAGTGGACAGAGTGTCGGCCTTCAGACATTAGGGTCTCAGGTTGGATCCCGTCAAGGGCACATTCCTGAATTGCGGGCTCAATCCCCAGTAGGGGACATTCGGGAGGCAGCCGATCAATGATTCTCTCATCACTGATGTTTCTATCTTTCTCCCTTCCTCTCTGAAATCAATAAAAATATATATTTTTTAAAGAATCCAGATTGTTTCCATTTTAATTATAATCTTCTTCAAAACTAATAAATTTTACTATCACACTTGAGTTTTGTCTGGAATTGTGTCTTAACCTATACCTAGAAACTAAAGTTAGGCCTACCTTAGGATAAGAGGATGAAATTAGATTTGCAGTTACGTTGACTATTTTAGCCTGTGGGTTCAGTAAGGATCCGTACTTCGTCCACTTCACTTCTATAACCAAAGCCAGCGGGAGCTGGCAGACATCCTACAACACAAAATGCTGTTAATCAGTTTGGCTATTACACCAACCACAAGTCAAACTTAATCTGCAGTTCGGAGTTTTAATTATAAAATGTTTCACGTATTACAAAATGTTCTGAACAAGAGAATGAATAGACTCTCAAAGTTCAGCTAAAAACCTCTTAAAGAAAGCACATATTTTAAAGTACTCAATGCTTCAAAAACATTTTAACACCTAAAGCACAATTTTTCCATTCCTTCCAATTCCTCTGGTTTCTAAAGAGGCCAGCATCAGCGGGGAGTTGTAAGCCCAGTGCGTGTCTGTAGAGCCTTCAGGGCCTTGCCTGCTCTAACTTCCTCTACCTTAATGGTCGGCAAACTCATTAGTCCACAAAGCCAACTACAATATCAACAGTACAATGATTGAAATTTCTTTTGAGATCCAAATTTTTTAAACTTCTAACGCCACTTCTTCAAAATAGACTCGCCCAGGCTGTGGTATTTTGTGGAAGAGCCACACTCAAGGGGCCAAAGAGCTGCATGTTTGCCAACCATGGCTCTACCTGTTTACAAATACCTCCGAGATACTTGAGAGAAACTGGCTTTGGGTGGGGAGGAGAGAGAATGGTATTACTAACAGACAAATTAAGCCCAATTGCATGTTATGTTAAAATACACTTAAAAGAAATGTGCCGCCTTTTCATTTACCTGATTTCATCAATTGGCAATTAAGGTGTTACACTGGGGTTTATAGGCAGAGTCTGAGTTGTCAAAGATACTGCCAGCTCTCCACAGAAACTGAGAGCCTCCATGGAGCTGCCCGGTTCAGACTGGGCGCTGTGGGAGCTGGGCCTGAGGCCTCTGCTCCAGGCTCTGTTTGGGCAGCCGCCAGGGGACAGTGGTTGGTGGGCCTTCCCCATCTTTTTCCTGCCTCTGGACCTCTTTAGTTGGCAACTGTGATAACTGTTGAAGCTGCATGAAGGGATTCTGTTGTATTATTCTATTTTTGTGTGTGTGTGAAATCTTCCACAAACAAGTTTTTAAAAACACATCTCTTCAAGGCATGAAAAGCTAACAGGCCTGCTACATCTGTGCCTGCCAAAAAGGCACTGGTGGGATCCTTAGCTTGGAATGGCCTTCTAAGCAATCTGTAGGCTGAGAGATCCTTGGATATCCTGTTATTAGGAGAAGATGCAACAAGCAGCTGGTAAGACTGAGCTTAGCAGATGCTCTCCTGTCTGCTTCTACCTGGGTTTGCTGAAAGGTTGGCACAAAACCCAGCCCGGCCCTGAGCTACCTGGACCAGACAGACCCTGGCTGTGCCAATGTCCTCACTGCTGCGTCTCCTCCCAGCCTGTTTTCCCTTCTGAGGGGGCAGTAATAGCTGGAGTAATAGCTGGAGGTCTTAACCATCTCCAAGAAGCCAGAAGCAGTCTGCCTGGTTCACTGAGGCGGCGGAGCTGAGCCAAGACTTCGCAGCTGAAAAGCGGGGACTGAGCAATCACCGGTCTCTGGGAGGAAGGGCGGATCCGAGCTGGGGAGTAGTCCTCACCCCCACTGTCCCCGGGCTATAAATATGCTAAGCAGATAATGAAAGGCCTGAAGAAACTGTGACAAGAAAAAGCCGGGCAATTAAAGGGTAAGATGGAGAGCACACCTCCAGGGATGGGGCAGCCCACACTGACTGCTGAAACAAAAGGAAAAGGTGGGCAGGAGAATCACATGTGATCAGGAACCCATTTATAGGACGTCAAATCCATTAAACTCTCGGGAACTTTTGAATTGAAAGCTCTCACGTGGGCCGCCTTTATAGACCAGGGAACAGCGCTGTGGATGAGGGGGTGTCTCAGTCTCTCTGAGACGAGGCCTCATGGACCCCCAACAATGACTATTGTTGACCAATGGTCAGATTCCCATTTATGGAGTAACCACTAGGCACCATGAATATTAATTACCTCATTAACTCAATCCCTATGAGACAGGTACTCTAACCTTCATTCCCACTTCAGAGAGGAAAGGGCCCAATCCCAGACTCAATGGCCAGTGACAACAGTGTTAACAAGGACAAATCAGTATTCAAGGTTCGGGCCCATCTGATAACAACTCCTGCCAGAGCCATCTACCTCCCACGGGGTGGAGGGCAGTGGAAGAAAGAGAGATCGCCATTATGCGGCCTTCAACGTCTCCCCCTGTACCTTCAGGTGGGGTGCCTGGGTGATGAAGTGGATGGGCACCCAGTCCAGCACGTCCTGGGCCTGAGAATTTCCAAAAGAGGCCACATAATCCGGGAAGCCCTGGCCCTTCAGCAGGTTCTTCACCTTCTCCGCGACAAGTGGACACGTGATAGTACGGGTCAGTCTTTGGAGAAGGAAAGAGAAGTCAATGGAATGAGGCTGTTGCTCACACCAGCATTTTTCACAGGCTCCACAACACACATGCTCTCTCTGGTTTATTTTCTCTCTCTCCTAAAGGGGATTGTCTGAAAGAAGCCAACGTGTTTCTAACTTTGAGAAATCGTTGTTGGCCAAGGAGATGAATTCAAAACAATGTTTCTCAAACTGTGTTCCATCAAGAGGCTCTGTACAAGAAAGGTTCCATGGCCAAAAGTTTGGGAACCATTGCATACCCATGTCCCTCCTGAAGTCACTGGCATATTAAAGGCTCTGAGAAGTCCTACAGTAGGAACAGGTTTTTAACTTTAATTGGTATTTCCCAAACATATTAAGTCATAGTCCTACCCCTACTGACGTCTTGTGGAAATGTATTCTGAACCTCCCTTTCACAAATGCTGGTCTAAAATGATCAGAGCTTAATAACATAAGCTCTGGCTAGTGATGCTTAGTGATTAGGGCATAATCATGAACGGTCACAGATTCAATTCCCGGTCAAAGGCACCTTCCTGGGTTGCATGTTTGTTCCAGAGCCCTAGGGCACATGCAGGAGGCAGCCAATTGATGTTTCCCTCTCTTTCTCTCCCACACCCTTCCACTCTCTCTAAAAATGAATGGGGGAAAATATACTCGGATGAGGATCAACAACCACAAAACAGAACTAATAATGTAAAAATGTAAATGGCACATACTGGTCTAACCAAAATGATGACATAATTACCCTGGCAAGTTATAGGGTCAGAAGTGAGTGGATGGTGGGATA